ATCAGATGACACCCTGTAGGAAACAACCCTGAACAGAGACCGCCATCAATCAAACCAGCGGCTGCTGTAATTGACAGGGTGCGGTGCGTGCACACAGGGCCTTGGACTTGGGGACTGTTGATGTTATAGAAGGCACACATGAACAGGCACATCTGGCTTGTGTTTATACAACACCCTGTGCACGGTCATTTGCAAAACTTGAAATCCTGGAATTGTGGAGTTTGAACAACTTTTTAAAAAGTGCCAACTCTATTCATACCAGTTCAAAGAGCTAACAAAACTCTGTGGTGTACATAGTTTTAAAAAACTTGCACCACTAGTGTTGTGAAACACCAGTCTCCACTATTAAAGATATAGTCCATCATTTGTAATTTGTGCATTTTGTTCGTTTGAAGCAACAATAGTGTTCAAAATCTAAAGAAGGGTACTGAACAACGAACCTGATGAAGTTTCAGCTCAGCTTCAGCTGTATATTCCGAGAAAAACGGCATTCTAGGATCTCAATTTCAAATCAAAAGTTGCTGAATCATGTTTTGAATTGTTTTGAATTGCAGCTATACGCGATGTCGCGCACCGATCCGACGAATTATAGCAACCGCGCGCGCCTGTGCGTCGTGCCAATGCTTGCGCGCGCTGCGCCGAATAACAAAACCAACTACTAATTTAAATTTTTCTACGGTTCGTCTTAAGACGCACCGTTGGAAAGGCCTTCTTTCGTTGAATACTTCAAAATGATAGCTTGCCAGAAAGATCCAGGGAGTTTCCACTTACTATCTTTCAACCAGTATGTTTTTCAACACTAATTACCCCAGTTACTTTTTCGGATGGCTGCAAATGATGGACTATAGCTTTAACACAGGCATTCTTGTTTGATGAAATCACACACCTATGGGAAAGCATGTACGCCCTGTATGTGGATGTTTTAAGAACTTCAAATATACTTTCACTTCTTTTCTTCATCTTCTTTTTTTTGGGGGGGGGGTTATTATTATTTTTCCAATATGCACCCCGTACCTGTATGACATTCCCCCAACTGAATAAATGATGAGCTGTGTGACTGAATATGATACTTAGTGTACACTAGTACCATCCAAAGCCATACCAGGGTAACTCATAAATCATAACATTTTAGTGAACTAGCAAGCTACAAGACATTCCACAGATTCCCCCGGGTTATCGCAGAGGGCTGGGGTGGGGAATTCAATGTATTCTTAATCCTGGATTGTTCAGCAACACCTGGACGCTACACTAAATGAAATGGCAGATGTTTTTTATCATCGATATCTATACAAGTATATATGGTCATTCTAGTATAAATTTAGGGTCCAAAGTGTGACATTTTTCCAGTACCTGTTACCTTGGTACTTCGTAATATGCCATTCAAGTATCATTAAAATTGACTTCAAACATTTTTTTTATTAGTTGGCTAGGTAGTTCGCTATTCATTATCACTCTTGGAGGACGACAGCATTAAGGAGTGCATCCAGAATTATAAAATCACAGATGTCAGATGTACATGTACATGTATACATGTAGCTAGTATAGGACACGAAAAAAGTGGGCCCCAAATTTGTCGAATGATCAATGTGCGATTAGTACACAAAAGAGCAGATCAACGGTTACTGGGTAGCCTGACGGAGCTACGGTACCATACATGCAGTACGCGTATATGTACCATGCTATGAAATTATGAGTACTGTACCGGTACCAGTGCTTGTACATGGGTCATTCCACCGGGTTGGGAAACAGTGCATGTTACATCCATATATTTGGTTATTAAACTTATCAATGCATTCTAAACAATTGCTCAACATAATATTTGTCTTAGGGTGTTTCAATACTTGAGAAAGTTTGATATCATTTGAAAATAGTTTGACAAAAATATGAGCAAAAATGTATTAATTTGGACGTAACATTGACAGCGTGTCAATGTTACCGTACATCCAAATATTCTTTTTTTGCCATTTTTTACACGTATGTAAAATATTACCCAAACTGACATTGCATATTTACAACTGGACACCTAAGCACCAAGAAAAGCTTTTGGTTTGGTATAGTCAGGGTTCAAATATAGCAGAAACAATACCTCAAGTGTAGATGTAACGGTGTAAAAAATCACTCAATGGAAGTGTGACATTTGGGTTTTACACCGTGTCAATGTTACGTCCACACAACCAAGCTATCATTTCTGGTCCATTTGAAAGCTGACTACAGTAGCAAAAGCTACTTCTTATTATAGTAAGAAGTACGCAAAGTGAATTTGGGTAATGTTTCGCAGAAATTTAAAGAAAAGGTACAAATGTCATATTTGGACGTACTGACACGGTGTAAATGTTACGTCCAAAACGAAATTTTTTGCTCATATTTTTGGCAAAATACATTGAAATGATTTCAAACTTTCTGCAGTAGTGAAACACCCTACAACAAATATTATGTAGAGCAACTGCTAGAAAAGCATTCATGCTTTTCTTAATATGGTCATACATATATGTCACACATTGTTCCCCAACCTGGTGGAATGACCCACGTATGAAGGTTGAAGGCCAGTAATGGGACCCAAAATTAAGCCAACCAAATCATGATTCGTATAAGTACTGGCAATACTGTGACCTGTTACAGTGACCCGTTACACTTGAGGCTCCGTTGCAATGAAGGATTCCTGCTCTGAACAAGTCTTTTCACTTGTACCGATATTTCTAAGACATTTGGGATGAAGACATACCCGAGGATTGGTTCCATTTTGCAGGGATATTTTTTTTTTTTCAAAAAGGCGATGGACTTATTAGGACTACTTTTAGGGGTGATCGTCTTTGTATAGAGAAAAATCATCCAAAAGTAAATGCCCCAAAAATAAACAGAAAGTGAGAGTGGTTGGTGTCTAGATGTAAGGTCAAGTTTAATATTGGTATGTTTGTAGTAAGTATTTTTCTTTTATAACTGTGAAAAGGCTTTAACCTGCTAAAAGGATGTGAACAATGAACCGCTGTCGACAAAAAAGTTACAGTCGGCAAAAAAGTGGCACCTGACAATTAAAGCACCAAAACTTAACGCTACAATAACACCACAATCGTGTGTGTATGCGAGTAATTTTTTTTTCTCTCGAATACATTCAAACCGGCAAAAAGCTATTCAAATATATGCAATTGATTAGGGACAGCCCTAATGCTTGAAACAGTGCACTGCCAAAAACAAAACATAATTCAATGCAAATGCACCATTACATGTTCCATACATCATACATGCACCTTGAGAATACAAGGTATCACTTCCTGAATCATACAAGAGAAATCTCAACAGGGACCTAGCAGGGGGATACATTACAGGTATGTGTAGAAACGGAATGAATTAATAGGATTTAATGACGTGATGGATGAGCTATCCCATGTGGGAATACGCTGATGGAAGACAGCCAACATGTGCATATCATGTACATGTACACTAGCCAATATGTGCATATGTTCATGCATACATGTGTACAAGTTTACGTGTACATGTATGTACTGTACATCATACATGTACACCAGCCAACATGTGCATATCATATGTACCGGGTACATGTACACATGCACTTATGTACATGTATGATAACCAGACCTAAAAGCATCCAATTCTGCCTGCCAATGTCAAACTCTCTTTGAGTTTTTGTAAGTGCTTTCAAATTGAGGCTAATGTGCGGTGATTCACTTTCTTGACAGAAAGGTTTCCCTCCATAAAGCTGAAAGGGTGATTGCATCTCGCCCTTGGAAAGTCACCCCTATTAGCCACAAAGCTGCAGTACTTGGCTAGTCCACAACACAGCACTGTACAATTCCCAATACTCCTATAAACAACTAACAATGCATACTGGCCCAGTCAGCCTCGTTACCTAGTTTTCCCTGAATGCAATTTCTAGTCAACCCAGACAGAGTAACACCACTTAATAGCTGTCTCCTAGACTGCAATCAAAAGCTCGAATTGCATTTTATCTGTCCTGACAATCCCTGTATGCAGAGATTCACACCTGTAAACTTTCAAGAAAGCCACATCAAGGATGAAGGATGGCTAATACTTGATGCAAGTCGTCAGATCCCTGACTTCAGATTACACAATGTAGGTCCATTGTTTGGTTGACCCAAACTACTGGATTATTATCAAGATACAATTTTATGCCTATTTTCCCCCCCCCCCCACCTCCCCCTCCCCCAATAAAAAGTACACTGATTTCGACAATCCATTAACCCTTACCTCCCCAACTCCATCAAAATCCATCCCCCCATTGTGGTGGATTTTGGGGGACTGGTCCTGCAGGCCTGGTGTGACTAAATATTGATGGAGTATGATGGACTTGGGCATGTGGGACTTGGTACAGTATAGTGAAAGCCAGTAGGGAGTTTGGGTTAAGGATAAAAAGACAACTGTGTTAAGTATAGCATCCAAGTACGTGTACGTGCCTACATGTAAGCTGAAATCAAATCACTTTGTTAAGGCAGTGTACTACACTGACTCGGTTTACTTTTGAGGTACCGTGATGGCACGTAACTGGGGACTTTCAGACCCAGACAACTGTGTCCAAAGTAGACAGTGGACATCCTGTGCTTTGCTTTCTCACTTCTATCAACGAATCCAAGCACGTGGTCAATGTACACTCACGAGGCCCCCTTCAATGGAGAAACCATTGTGCTAGCTAACATACAAAGCAAGTGCCCTGTGAAGATTTTTCTGAACAATACCGGTAGCTAGTTACAATGCTTTCATCATTGAAGGGGGCCTTCGTGATAGAATTTCTGGCGTGCCCAGATTGATCCATAATGGCAGTTAGTCTTTGCTGTCTATGCCTATACAGGTAATTTGGGGTGTGGTACACCCCGCCATTGTGAAATGGTCAAGAATTGTACAAGACCAAATGGATTGTCAGCATCTCAACTTATCTCACCTCTCATCTCATGGCAATAAATGAAATTAAGTATGCTTTGTATTATTAGGCTTTTGGAGGGAAATAAGATGAATTCTTTAGTTTATACCTGCACAACGAGGTCCACTCGCTTGTCATCCAGGAGCACAACCTGGGTGCGCCGCCCATCAGCCATCTGAAATGATCAAGTCAACCAAAATTTCAATGAAATTAATCAAGCAGATTCAGCAAGGTTTTGTAGACGGGGTTTATCATAGTTAAGAAATCACCTCTAACCAGTTAACACCGGAGGACGTGTAAACACGATCTGGCAATGTATATTCGCAAAGGCGGGTGACGGGTTCAATCGTGGGCGTGTAATATACACGTCAGTGGTTCCCACTTGGTTTTGTACACACCGTGTCTTGTACTTGAACTTGGCCGTTGTACAAGATCTGTCATCATAGCAAATATCGCTACGTTGCGGTGCCTTGGAGTGACGCAAAATATGAAGTTACTTGGGGTGAAAATTACCATACATATATTGTACAAATGACCCTCGGGGTTCAGTATTTGTGGTGTTTAACTTTATTTTAAAAATTTGGCCAATATCACAAGGTGTTTTTTTGCCAAAAATAATCCTGGCGGCAAGTGGTTAAATAACACACCAGGATCTCAGTTTCAACTGCATTAAAACATTTTCTTTTTCAGTTAACAACTTGCAGTTTTATCGGTAGATAAAATCAGTGTCCAACTACAAGATTTTGAACAGTGTGAATTGGGTAAATCTTTACTTAACTTTTGGGACAAATTAAAATTTCCCTTGAAAGATACAGCCACTGTACAACAGTAAAAATTGGTGCACAACACTTGTATTCAAAATTTACATATCTTACAGACAGCACCTTAATCCTTGTCTATCTCATACAATACAATCAATTCAATTCAATTTCCCCTACTAATGAAATTCATGAGAAACAAATGAACTGTTACACAACAATTGTCTCCTCTTACTACGTAGTACATAATTAAGAAGTCAATAGGTCTGCATCTTGAGTGGCAGACGGTTGCACAAAAGGGAACTAAAGTACGGAAGTCATCAGCAGATAGTAGTGAATGGTAAAATAAGGCTAAACAAAATTTACTGTTAAGTGTCAACCAATTTTTCTCTTGGCTTTAAATACATATAAAGATGTCAGCCATTTTCCACTTTAATTAAAGCAGAAAATTACGTAGCCCTACAGTTTGAGCCTACCCTTTAGAAAAATTCAAATGCATTTACATCTCTCCCCTGTTTGAGAAGGAGCTCTATAAGTTCACAATGGCCTTAAAGGTAATAATTATACAACATTTACAAACATCAAAAAAACAAAACTACCAAGTTATTATGCAATACCTTACTTGACTGTACATGTCAGTGTCTCAAGCATCCTGTGAAATCATGGCACCTGGTGTGCTGTCATTTTCAAGAAAAGTGGAATTTTGTATCAGTTTCCAACGATGGACAGCCGATCATCTTTGGAAAACTGTTCAAATACTGCCCCCAATGTACCACATTTAGTTAGTCCACATTTTGTTGGCAATCGGTTACACATTCGTGAATGGGTGCAAGCCAGCAAAGTCTGGTTCCCTGAACTGACAATTCCCCGACATCCATAATTTGCTCCGTTTACAAGTCTGAAGCCAGGGAACCAGACTAAAAAACAGCATTTTCTCCTTGGGTGGTTTTTTTCCCCAGCATCTACATGTATGAACACAGAGTTTTAAACAGGTCAGTGTTATAATATTTGCTGTAAAATACTAACCCCCAAACCCATCCATTTCTGAAAAGTACAGCAAAAGCAAATGTTGTGCACGTATTACTGGTATCTTTCAAATGTACATTTTCTGTAATGCAATTTTAAAAACAAGCAGCAAGCAGGTTGAACCTTTTCAGGTTTACCGAAATGCAGATGTACGCCCTTTCCAAATCTGCATACATATAACATGTGGCATCGATTGGTTTGTGAACAGCTGTGAGTCACGTACATTTGTAAGTCTCATGGCCGTGGAATTGTCAGGATGCAAATCATGTTGTATTGAGCAACAGTTTGTAAGCACTGCCAACAAGTCCTTCAGCTACAGACAGACTTTGCATGGAGTCATGAATGTATGCTGACGTCTAAATGACCTTCTCACTCAGGAATTCTTGTGTTATTTCTGTGCAAACTTGACTCAAACAATAACAAAAGTTCAACAAAGGACAAGCTGTTACAGAGATGACATCATGCTTACAAACAATGTTACAAACATTGTACATTGTATACATGTACATTGGTTTTTATTATCTTTTTATTTAAATTGTGTATATAAAAAAAGTTAAATTCTCAAATGAGAAAACAAATTACTGTTTACATCTGCTTAAGTCTGAGGAATATTCTAAAGGCAGGAAACACCCCCCCCCCCCCCCCCGCCCCAGTTTAAAAAGTATGCATACAAATTCTCCCCCCCCCCAAAAAAAAAGGGCCTTATGAACAGTTACTGAATCAATTTATGATATTGGGTTTTGCCATTCACAAATGTATTTTATAAACACTGTCTACTAAAAGTTGTCACGAATTTTTGCGAGTGTACAGTGTTTATCAACAAAATAAATGTCATTGATGGCTAAAACCCAAATGTGTATTTACAAATGTACAGCATCCAGCCACAAATTCCATCTTATGAATACTTTCATATTCTGGTACTTCCACAAATTCTCAAAAAAGCTAAAAAGAATTTGAGAAAAACCAAATCAGCTACCTAAATCCGTTGGTCAGTACTTTAGTACACCATACGAATGTATGAAGGTGATGTACAAACTACGCACATGTATGCATCACGCAAATTGAGTAACAAATGTTTTTTTCTATACATTTCTTCAGTGTTTTCTTAAATACAGGTTTCTTTAGGTTTGCATGCTAGTACAAATACAGTCGGGCACAATGAAGTAATCCTTGGTTTACTTACAAAAAAAAAGAAATAACAATAAATTTTGTATAGGGGAAAGTTAACTGTACTTGTACCCCCACATCATGAAACATGTCTAAACAAATTTATCACTGCTAACTGGGCCAATTTCATAGAGCTGCTTAAGCACAAAATTTGCTTAAGCACAAAACGTCTTGCTTAATCAAATCAGGTTACCGGCCAAAACTCCATGCGATTGTTATGCTAAGTAAACAACAGCTAAATACCAGTCACAAGCAATGTACATCACATGGAGATTTGGCCGGTAACCTAATTTTACTAAGCAATGTTTTTTCGTGCTTAAGCAAATTTTCTGCTTAAGCAGCTCTATGAAATTGGGCCCAGTTAGTGTTACAGTAAAGAACCGGTACATGTACAGCGCATACACAACAGTTTACACTACGTGTACATTTTGTACATTGTACCTACACATATGTACCAATTTAGTTATTCTATAATTTCTTAAAAACTCAGTTTACTGGCTACCGACTTACTCTCAGCAGAGGGCCAAGGATATCACGTTCATATTCCATACTGCACCGTGGTAAAACAAGTTGAAGGACCAATTCAAACGCCCATTATGATGGATTGCTACACAAACTCTCCCATAAAGAACGGCCAGGCAAATTCAACGTAGTAGGCATTTAAACCACAGCCACAGACTGGCAACAACAAACAATTCTGGAACCACAAAAGTCCAAACACCGCACTAAGTACATTATTTCCAAAGTGTGTTCAGAAAACAGCCAGCAAACTTCAGATTGACAGAGCAAAGTTCGCACAGATACCGTGCGAGTTTCGGAAGGATTGTCGAGTGCAGTCTTTGTGGACTGAAGTACATTTCTGCATGTTCCGGAAAAACAAATATACCTCTTGACGTCAGAAAGTCGGCATTTAAAAAAAAACATAAAGAAGAGCGATTCCTGTTTTGTGTCAAGCAGAACACACAAGTTGAGCTTTTACACTGTAATACTATGTCAACAATAAATCACAGCTGGCCAATGCACATTATCGCTCAGTGATGCAAATAGAAATTTGTCGCTCGTTTTGAAATCAATAATAATTAATAACTGATACGGCAACATTTGGTTTGGAATGAGTGGGCGTGCTTCACAAAAACTATTTTGATCTGATTGTTGGCGGGTATTCTTTTCCTCTAAAGCTTGTTTGCTTTCAGTTTCAATTATTGTTTATAAATTGCATTATTTGTACAATCACATTCCAAGAAGTCAAACTGAGTAAAACAATTTACATTATACATACATTACCCGAGAAAGTAGGTACAGTTTTTGCACCTTTTTAAGAATTCCGTTTTTATTTAAACGTTTCTGGAAAATTTGTAAACGACGTTTAGCATTGTTTTCGTTAAAATGTTTAAACGTGTATAACATCACATGCTTAGCGCCATCATCTATTGAGTACAGGCCTACGGCATTCCCCCTAAACTGACACGTACATGTAACATGCAAGTACAGAGTACGTGTGCATGTATAATGTATGTATACATAGGTATTATTCATGCAACTGGTGAAAAAGAACCCTCAAAATGCCACAGCATGCAAGGTCAACGAAACGACAAAACGCATTCAATGTGACACAGCGCTGCGCAGGGCTGACTCGACCAACACGGAGTATCATCAGCGTACACTCCATCACTTGTCTATCTCATCTTGGTCCCACAGCAGGGAGCCGTGAAATTGTCAGGCGTGCGTCATCTTTCCAACTAGGAGGCATCGAGGGAGGACAATTCCTCCGCATCACCAAGGTGTAACTCACAGAGTCAATGTAACATCTGCACACACACAACAGTACAATGTACTGAAGGTGTTTAGCACTTGTTTCAAAGTGCATGTTGTATTGCTGCCCAACATTCTCAAGTCATCTGGGTTTTTTAAAGCATTTTTTAAAACAAAAACAAATAGGCCTATACAACATGTACTGTTACTCGCTTAAGGCCAATTTAAAAAAATAAATTAGTTTCTCGTTCCCACCTGCTTCCTTTTACCCGCCAGCCTCCTTTTTTTGTTTTAAATTCATACAATGTACATTTGCAATATATCTTGCATATTGTCACTACATTGTATACTGTGTTTTTATTTGTTCCCAACAAAATTGTAGCTTAATGCAGAAAGGGCTTTGCACATAATTTTGTATTGATCGGCAAAATAGTTGAGATAATGGAAAAATCCAACGTCATCTTCGAAAATATGCCATTTTGGGAGAAAAAAAAAAAGAACAAAAAAAGTTTCTGCCTCCTTCATTTCTTAAGAAAAGCCAGGAAGTCTGAAGAGAAACTATTTATTTTGTTTACTACATGTAAGCCTTACGATCAATTCAAATTTTCGCTTTCATTAGAAAATAGCCCTCCGATTTAACATGAGGGCTAATGTTAGCAAGTTCTCTACACACTAGTGGATATTATCATATGAGGTTTCAGGTAACATAGTACATGTAGGTTCCTGGCCAAAAAAAATTCTGCCTTGTTCATTTTTGGCACCTTCCCAGTACATGTATAACCATGCAACAAGCACTACATTGTAATTATCTTTTATCAACATTTCAACCACCTCGTACATGTAGTTTGAAGAGGTTTTGTTTTAACCAATTAACCGAAAGTGGTTTTAAAAATTCACATTGAAAAACAAATGTAAACAATTCAACAAAACAAGAAAAGTAAAATGACAGTTTACATAATAATGTCTCAAAGCACTTCACAATTATTACCCCTGTTCATCAGGCCATGAGACCATTTTTTGTAGCAGCTCGAAAATCTGGTCTCTACCTTCACAGGTGCCCATTTATACTCTCCTGGGTGGAAAGAGGCAATCGTTGTAAAGTGTCTTGCCCAAGAACACAAGCACCATGTTCCCCGTCAGGGTTCGGACCCACGTACCACGGCACGCAAGTCAAACACTGTAACCGCTACCCACAGTACAGTTGACACTGATTGCAAAATCACAAATTTCCGGGGGAACAAAAATTCCTGGAAACTTGTACCACTAGTGCGAGCTGAAATATTGCAGTGTAGCGAACAAAAGGTCCAGCCAAGCAAGAGATGCCTTTGGGTAGGTTTGCATTATCGCATGGTCACCCACCTGAATTATGTAGCTGTTCAGATGTCACTTTCCTGGAGGAGGAAACCATTGTTACTTTTATTGTGGTTCACCACTTTTTTTTTGAAAGAGGTCCATTGACATCATTGATCAGCACTGTCAAACTCAAAGTTCACCGAATTATGACAATGCCTTTTATGTATTACTGTGCATACAAACATGTGGTTTAGGGAAAATAAAAAAAAAAACATGTTTAGCGTCCTGCCTCTTTGACAAAAAGGAAGGAGGAGGCCCTTTTTTTTTCTTTTTCTTTTTCTTCAAAATGGCCGCCCGACACATTTTTCAAGACAACGCGGCCGGGCTATTTTTCAAGATGGTTACCAGCTTTTTTCAAAATGGCCGCCACTTGGACTCATTGACTATTTCCACAGCTTTATACACGGTATAACAGTCTAAAAATACGATTTCTTTTGTCAGAGATCGTTAAAATTTATCAATTTTTGTCTTTAAAAAAAAAAAAAAAAAAAAAGGAGGCGGCCTCTAAAAAGGAAGCGGGCGGGGACGCTAAACATGTTTTTTTTTTTACTTCGCCTAACTGAAGGCAATCTTTTCTGGGAAAAAAAACCTGGAAAAAGATGTTGTAACAAGTAATAACTAGTTCCCACATCCTTGTGCATATGTTTTGTGGTAACACTATGTTCCAACACCCCCATGTTCTGACACCCCTATGTTCAGACTGCACATATTCCTACTCCTAACCCTAACCCTAACCGGGAGTAACACAATCTTATGTGCGGGTTGTCCAAACATAGGGGTGTCGGGACATAGGGTGTCGGAACATAGGGGTGTCGGAACATACGGGTGTCGGAATATAGGGGTGTCGGAACATAGAGCGGTCACCATTTTCTCAGTTTGTAAATTGAAAGACTGCAATTCAGTAACTGAAATTTTATACAACCTGTGACAGAACTGGGGATGAGGGTTTGCGGGACTACATATTACGAGAATAAAACTCTTCTTTACATTACAATACTGCTTACAAGTTATGGCTGTGTAAAGCATTTATCAACATGCCAAAAAAGTAAAACACTAAGAAAAAGGCCGGCCATTAAAGTTTTGAGTTTTGTATTCGTGAATATGATGAAAGATTGATTTTCCTTAAGAACATTGTTATACTAAATACATGTATCAGGGTTCTCCCCACGTACAAACGTGCGTATCGGCCCGATACGCTGGAATTGTGGCCCGATACGCCGACAAAAATGCCGATCACATTTTTCAGCCCCCGATACACACAATATAATTTATTACACAAGCCATTAAAATGCACAACATTATCGTTTCATACGCCATTATTTCATCTTGACATTCAAAATCTTGACAAAAATCCCGTATTTCTGATGCTGCATGTGTGATCAAAATGCACACGATGACGGGTCTTCCGCGACAACCGCCAGCACCCAGCTATATATTAGCGCATTCAGCATGGTACACTGGTTCCCTTCGCGTGCTAACAGTATCAATGCTATGATGAAGGACCGGAACCAGTGACTACTGCCTTGTACGTGCATACATGATGATTTCGGCCGAAGTTGGATCGTCAAAACACCAAACAAACATCGATGGAGAAAGAGAATTTCTGCAAATTAATTCACAGAACGTGATCTCTATTTTCTGTGTATGTATTTTCCATTAAAATGACGAGATTGCAAAGCTCGAACGTATGGCGAAACATCGTACGCGTAGCATGCTTCTCAGAAGCAGTGGTGCAAAATTTTCAGCCACATGGGATGGGCCATACACAGTTCAGTAATGCACACTGATGCTGCGCCGTGAGCACAGCGCCATGTACAGCCGGCCAGACTGAATGTTGACGGCGCCAGGGGCCATGATGTACGTTAAACATATTGTGGAATCAACTACCTCAAATATATTTTTAATTAGGTGAGGCAAGTTTTAATCACTTTTGATGGTCAGTCTTGATAATTTTCGTGGTGCAAAGGAAAATAATCCAGGCACAAAACTACATGATTCCTTGTTCAATATGCTCCATTCAATCAAGTGTTTTTATTCCTCCATGATTCAATCAGCAGCCCAAAAAATTGGCGAAATAATTTTTCCGACTTACCGACGCTATTTTGAAAGGCATGTAATCGGAAGCAAAAGTGATATTTTTCTTCACCTTAATTTCTTAATTTGAAACTTGCTTGTTAATATAATTCATACTTTCTAGATCAGGAAGTTTTAACACAGGTTTTGAAATATTGATTTTTTTTTTTAAGTTAAAAATTTTGATATATTTTTTTCTTTAATTACAAAAAATATCACATGATCTCCTCTAAATTTTAAGGGAAAATCTTCCTCAAAGACTCCCCAGATTTGCTCTAAAATGCACCAGAGAGCCTCTAAAGTTCAAAATTTTTCGGGGCCCTTAAGCGGGCCCCGAACCCCACGCCATGGCTTCGCAGGTTGGTGAATCACAACAAAACTTCCCCCACAGGTTTGAAAAAATCCTGGGGAGAACCCTGTGTATATATTTAACATATGAAATTATGAGTATTAGACATATCAAGGATTACAAATATGAGTAAATCTGGAAAGTAGTTGTAGTTCTAAGGAGATTTGTACTTCAAGTTTAATAATAATACTCAGACCAACAAGGCTGAGAAGTGAGAGCGAGACTGCTTTTAAAGATGGCAAATATGCTCATCTTCAACTTCAAGTTCAAGAGAATTTGAAAATTTATGAAATTTGTTCAATTCTCAATAAGATAATTTGCATGACGTGATGTAAAAGGTAGGAGGAAGTTAGAGTTCACCAAAAGCTCAAATCATCTAAACTTTGCTTAAACTTGAACATCATCCCCAACCATTTTAACCATGACAAACCTGATACAAAACGTCAGTGCAGTGATCGTGTTGTACTGGAGTTGGTCAGTTCATTTTCTTACACGATTACGGCGAAGTTACTTACCTTGCTTGACGGCCTGTTGGAACCTTCCGTTTCAGTTTGAATGGCCTACAGTTATTTACAATAAATCTTCCTCTCAAAGTCCCTACATCTAGACATTTTCAATGTTGTTCATCGTTGAAATTGTGGAGAAAAGTTTGTTATTTTCCAAATAGACAAATCAAGTTACAATGCGTTTCGCATTGCACGTACGTAAACTCGGAGTTTTGTCGTACTCGTATAGTAGTCGTAGTAAAATCCGCATACCAATTCGGTGAGCACATTCATTGTACGTACAGCAATGCAAGGTATTGACGTACGTTGGTGGCACACACCATTGTGGTACTAACGAAATGAAAAGGGTTTGAATACCAGTGGGTTTTAAAACGGCTGTCAACGTTCAGGACAACAGAGGGCGCTATTTCATTAAAAAGTGGGCAATAGTTTTCCTGGGACAGGTGTCTTTTCCAGGATCGCTTCAAATAAAACCTACCTCTTTTGAATTGGTCTCCACTACTATTTTTGTTCTGACGAATTGCATTTTGAAAAGGAAAATGTAAGCTTCTTGATACACAAAGATTTTTTCGACAAATCTCCACAAAAGGAATTTTGACCAGATTTCCGACTCGCACTTTTGACATGTTTGGACGGTTTGTAGAAAATCACGGGAACCGCGAATCGACGATAAATTTTCTCCTCGGTACACCACTCGGACCGCTTGATTTCGGAACTGATTACAAAAACCGATTTGGAACTAGAAAAAGTGGCATTGGTACTTTTGACGCCGCAAAGTCTAAATTAAAAGAGCTTAAATTGGGAACATTATTTCGTAGTATCTCCATCACTCAAGGTAAAGTTTGTAAATTAACCAATGTAGCTTTAAAGGGAATGTACAACATTTGCTTTTGCTGCAATTTTCAGAAATAAATGGGTTTGGAGGATTAGGCAAAAAAAAAGGCTCCGGTTTCTGGTATGGAGCTTGCCCAAAAAGTGGTGCGGCGAGGCGGCTTTTTTTTTTTTTTGTTTTTTTTTGCTCCAAATGTCAGCTGATGACTGCAAACGGTGCCCGACTAAACTTAGTGCAAATATATGGGAGTCCAGAGAGGCCACATAAAGCTTATTCTCTATCATAAACACATATTAAAACACGTTGAAATTGTGCAGCAGCAGGATTCCAGTCAAACCAGTGAGTTTGGCGGTTTTGAGACATCATCTTTCATTGAAAAAAAAAACTTTTTCATTTTGCCGACGCGCATGGCTACGGCGACGCGCGCGCATATACCAGAAACCGGAGACTTCTTTTTTGGGGCCTTAGTATGTTATAGCAAATATTGTTAAAATGACTTGTTTCACGTTTTGGGCTTGTAGTTGCTGGAAAAACCAAAAAAAAACAATCATGTTCTTGTAGTCTGGTTCCCCGAACCCCACTTAAGATGAAACGGAGCAATTTATAGACTTTTGGGAATTGTAAAGTCAGAGAATCAGTCTAGCAGGCTTGTACCCCTTCACAGGTGTGCAATCAATTGCAAAGAAAACAATGAATAACTAATTATGAAAAATTAGAAGCAGGTTTTGAAAAAAGCCAGTTTTTTCCAACGCTGGTCGGCCGACCAGCGTTGGAAAAATACAATTTTTCTTGAGAATGATAGCACACCAGGAGCCACGATTTAACAGGATGCTTTAGACTGTCAATCCAGTAAGGTATTTCATGATAATCTGATCATTTCGTTTTGTGATGTTTGCAAATGTTGTATCTTCCCTTTAATTCGTGGATCAGTTGAGCCGAAAGCAGTCTGAATGACGTTTGCTATCTGGAACTAGGAAAACGACTGAACTGTAATGTCTGTGGGATTTGCCAACTCAAAAGTGCTCTTCCCCCCAAAAATGGATTTTTCTCCCCAACGAATTTAGGGAATGTGTACCTATTTTTTGTAACAAAAAAAAAAAGCTTTACTCCGATCGATTTTGGGCGCCTGCAACCCTCTGAAAAAGGAATTTTCATTTTGCGCACAAAATAACGAACCTTCGACTGAGTACCCCCGCCCTGCAAACAGGGCGGGGGGTACGAACGAAAAATTAGCCCGCCCTGTATTAAAGCTGAGAGCCCAATTATTGGGAAAATAATTCGAATTTTGTAAAGATTTTTTCGTTGTCTCATTCAAAAGTGACTAACTTGTCAGTGTCTCTATAGGAAAATAGCTAGTTTCGGGCTGAAACTCTAAATATAATTGGGATGCATCAGCGGCGTAACTAGGAGTTAAGCTGCTGGTGGGCACCACATGGGGTGCACCAATTTTTCAAGGGGGCACTGAGGGCAACTATATTTTGTACGTGGATGTGCAATTCAAGATTTCAAATGGGGGGGGGGGGGGGGGGAAGAGGCACCCGGGGGCACGGACCTCCGATGGGGAGAGGAGTGGTACGGTATGAGCGCCCGTGCGCCCGTAGCTAGTTACGCTGCTTTTTAAACCGTCCATTATTGACTTGACTCGGTCGTTTGGGAGGTTCTCCCCACACAACCCCATCCACCCCTCCCAGCAAAAAAAATCTTCAAAATGTCTCCTTTCCGAAATAGTGAAACATATTTTCTGAACGTCATGTTCAAGGAAGTTTCAGCCCTGCAAGTCTGAAGCCGATTCTGGCCAAGTATTGAACTTAACATTGAAGCCGTTTCCCGCCTGCTTCACTTGGACTGTACTTTCCGCTAACTGAGTGGTAGATTGCTTCAACCACCGTTTCCGTAATGACCCTGTCATTCTCGTCACTTTACTGTCAATTAATGAATGAGATAATTATTTTTCTAGACATAAAGTTTGGTCCCATACCATGCCACAGCAGGTGAGAAAAGAGAGAATGAAGATTAAAGGAAATGTACATCATTGGCTTTTGCTGTAATTTTCAGAAATGAACTATTAATTTGAGGGGTTAGTATAATAGATCAAATGTTGTTACACTGACATTTTTGAAGTTTTGTGTTCGAAAAGGTTGGAAAAACCAAGAAAAAAAACAAAAATGTTCCAGTAGTCTGGTTCCCTGACTCCACAAAAGATAAAATGGATCAATTTATAGATGATGGAATATTGTAAGGCAAGGGAACCAGTCTAGCTGGCCTGCACCCGTTCATGAACATATAACCAATAGCAAACAAAATTTGGACTGAAAAAAAAGGTAAATTTGGAGCAGTAGTTGAAAAAAAGTTAGGTTTTTCCAACGCTGGTCGGCCGACCACTGTTGGAAATGTATACAAAAATACCATTTTCTTGAAAATGACTTCACACCAGGTGCCATAATTTTACAAGATGCTTGAGACTGTCATTTACCAACATCCTAGTAAGGTATTTCGTAAAAACTTGGTAGTTTTATTTTTCGATGTTTGCAAATGTTGTATATTCCCTTTAAGGACTGCCTCAAACTGAATGGTAATAACATATCGTATCCATGGTCAGTACTGCATGGAATTCATTGATAGTGGTTCCGTGCCAGCTGCTGTTTCATTCGATTCGAACCCGGCCGACTTCTCCGCCCCCCCCCCCTCCCGACAAGCGCAGCTCGGTCATCAAGCGGTAAACTACGTCTACACCAGTGATCGTGGATTCGAGTACACGACAAATAACAAAACAGCAGCAATGGGGGAAAGTCGCAATTATGGACATCATTAAAATTCAGTCTTTTGTGGAGAAGATTCTAGAATGTAAATAGATTCGACAGCAAAGCCGAACCGTGTTCTCCGCGTGTTAATTTGTCTTTAATATTAAACGTCGTAAAGCATGTGGGTTTTTTTTGGGGTGGGGGTGGGGGTGGGGGTCGAACGGTCGTCTTTACTTCTCTTGATAAAAGCCCGGTGAGGCGGGGGAGGGGGGAGGAGGGGAGGATGTGGCCCCCGTGTGGCCCCCCATGTAGGCCCCCTACTGGTCTCGGTCCAAGACTGGATTTGGATGTTATTCCCCTTACAGCCGGTCCGTGACAAGGAGATCGCTAATCGAATTTAGTCTTTGGCAATATTGGCAGCGCTACCCAGGAAATTCAGAGCATACCTCAAGTGCGCTGTATTCAAGCTAATGCATGCGCGTGGGGGTAGGGCCTATGCTCGGAACTTCCTGGGTAGCGCTGCCTATATTGCCAAGACTGAATTTGACTTACCTTGTTGATAGAGACCTCCACCCCGCGGCAATTACCGCGTATAGGTTTGTCACGGGACTGGTTGCAAAATATACATGAAACAGGGGAATCAAATACAGTATTGACCTGAGACTACCAGTGCAGTGCTGAGATATAGATCTGTATAGAATCACGAATGGAATTTCACGAACTCGAGCGAACAGCTTCAAGCTGTAGTTATTGACGGGTGCAGACCGGTCAATTGGCCCGAAATTGCCTGCGCCGGCCAAATCACTATTTAAATTTTCCGGTATTAGAGCATTTTGAGGGCCGTGAACTTGAGGATTTGTTTAAAAAAAAAAGTGGAAGCCGTGCAGAGGACTGCGAGCTCGTATTTCTGTGAAATTTGGGTGAAATTAGGACCTAAAATGGCTCTATTTTGCAAGGGAGCGTAGGCATCCTTTTTCAAAATGGCGATGGGCTTCAGGACTATACTTTTAGGGGTGATCATCTTTGGATGGAAGTTTCTCCCAAAATTCGTTGCTTAACTCACCAAAAATTGAACAAGAAACGAAAGACGATGAAATAAGCTTTAATTTGCTTGATGTCTCAAACACCTTGGAGAGTTGTGAGTATTTTTTGTAAAAATAATATTGGGAAGTGCGCCTAATTGTCACTGAGGTCTATTGCAGTCTATTTACTGGTCTGCAACCAAGAGCGCCCTCATTTCGGAAGAAATACAGAGCGAGTAAAAAAGAACCCCAAATGTCGTCCGTATTTTTTTTGAGGAAGTAGGGCCTATTACATGTAGCGCGTTCAAGATCTAGGATGTGAAAGCTCAAGTAAGAAGCTTTCTTTTAGTAAAAGAATCACTTACATCGCTCATGTATTTTTCTCAGTTACGGACTTTTAAACACAAACAGAGTTTTATAAGTTTGTCCACGGATCACAAAAAAGTAAGTGATATTTCAGCAAAACGAAGATAATTCAAATATGAATAAAACACATCAGAACACTCTCCATAACCATGATAACTGGCACTTATCATAACCTTTATTTAAACACCCTCTGCTTATTTTATAGTCTTGCCCGGGCTTCTACTTGGCTACCCCGGAGACTTATGGGATTATTCTGACATCGTTTTCATGATACGACATGATTTCATTTTACTGAAATATCACGTACCTTAAAATGTGATCCGTGGTCAAACGTGTAAAACTGTGTTTGTGTTCAAAATTCCATAACTGGAAAAGTACATTAGTGATTTGAATGATTCTTTTCCTAAAAGAAAGTTAACTTTATTAATTGGGCTTTCACAGATCTGGAAAGCGCTGCACGCAGAACTTCCTTAACAAAAATAGGGGGCGCCATTTGGGTTTCCTTTTTCCTTTTCATTTTTTATTATTCAGGGTCAGGTTTTAGCTAATATTTACCATACCATTCGTATAGTATAGATTCACAAAAATGGACCCAAAGTTGTAGTCCATGTGAACTGATTGTACGTCCTTGTTTGGTGTAGATTCGCAACTTTGTCTGAATAAAGTGGAAATGTGAAAATTCGTTTGTTCGTTCATTGTGTTCAAGGCTTGTTTTTCATTATCGGGTCAGAGTGGGAGATCGAGAAATCATGTAGTGTAGAGCGGGGCTATTAGGCCCTATGTATTCTTGTCGAGTCGTGACTTACACCGTATCCGAAAACATGATTTTTTTTTTAAATAAGACTATATGGTAATCCATTAATGGTAAAAAAAATCGATCGCAGAAATTGGTTACCCACAAGGCTTTGCGTTTCCTTCACAACCATCACCATGCTCTTGAATAGGTTCGGCGCACGGGGAATTTTTAAAATTAAATAAAAAGGAAAACGAACGGTATTTCAACAACAAAAAGAACCATACATGGAAAATGCAAAAGTTTTATAAATATATTTGCAATTTTTGTTTAGGATTGAGTAAATATGTGTCCACCCAAAAGGTAGTGCTTATTACCCTCATAAACTATGTCATAGACGTGCATGCAAAAGACACCGAATGCTTTTATATTTTGACAAAAAGTCATGACGCAAATGCTTTGCTTGCGTAAGTGATTAATATTAAAGAAATGCACACCTTAATATCGAGCATTTTGCCCAACAAAGGCATCGTGTATATCAGCAGTAGCAGGGCGGATAGTAGATTCATGGAGGAATAAGAACAGATTAGGGCAGGTGCAACGCACATTCTGCGCTCATTGGGTCAATACAAAAGTTCAGCATTGGAATTTTTTTCTTTCGGGAGGCCCTTGTGATTTACCCTTCGCTCTTTTTATAACAGCTAAAAGCCTGTACCATTCTGGAATGGGTCGTCATTTGCGATGAAGGTTTTTAACGTCCCGTCAACAGCGGACAACTTCATCACACTTACCAAAAAAAATCTACTTAAGTTAAATCAAATCGATCGATTTATATCTGGTAATCGATTTCACTTTGCATGATATTCCCAAAATTGTCACGATTACCGGCTAATTGATAATCTCTCAAAGTCGTTTATACCGAGCATCCCTGCGCGGAATAGAACGTTCCACCTGAGGTGCATACCTTCATTCCTAACATTTTTTCCATTCATTGCAACTTGTTTGATCGGCGCATGAGGCGATCGAACCTCACCACGGGAGCCGCAATAACTACCGAATTTCTCCTGTGCAGACCCAGGCAAAAAACGGCGATCGGACACCGGCCAGGGAGGAAACGTCATCGGAATCGACCCCTTTATCAATCGCTCGCATTTCCCCGGCTTTTTAGGGCAGATGAACGGTTGTTTTTCGGTGGTGAAATGCGGCAGTGAATGACACCTTGCGTTGCTGCGGATTTTTCCCAATAGGTAACCAACGTACGTACGTTCGAGCTGCCGGGAGATCTGATCGATTTACCCTCGTCATCGTTGTCGTGTGTTGCCAACAAATTCCCGCGGTATGGAAACTCCATTGGATGTGCTCTCTCGCGCAGCAACCATGGTCGAAACAGACCGGCCTGCAGGCAGTAAGTACTATATTTTTGCGCCTTATTTTCCCCACCCCGAAAAATAACGTAGCCACAGCAAGCATATATTTCAAAAGATTAAGGCACACCACGGATTGCTATTGTGAATTACTAAAAAAAAAAGGTGCTTTACTTTAGTGTAGACAGGACTGACATTCCAATGCTATTGTGTCCGAGATAGCCTTCAATTCCAGGCATGATAGGCCTTGAGTCGAGATCATTTTATAAACCTAGGGCATCAATAAAACAACATTCCACATGGCAATCCATGCTTGGCATAATTCTGCTTTTGTATTTTTTTTGGGTACACATTGAAAGGAATGCGCAACAAAATCTATATACAGTGGTTGATTTTTTAAAAAAGTATAAATTTATACATGTCATTCTCTATCCAACAGGTGTATAACACGTTTAAAATAATGTTTACATTGCAAGATAGAAAATATTATATTTGTGGTATTAGGCCCAAAAAAAAGAAAATACTCGGTCTCTGGTCAGACCAAAGTTCTGGAATTGATGCGGCGACGCGGCTTTTTTTTTTTGGCTTTTTTTTTTTTTTCAAGCTTGGATTGTACAGACAAGGTGGGGTACTATTTTGCTTTTTTTGGGTGTCCTCATTTTTTTTTTTCAAGCTTGGATTGTACAGACAAGGTGGGGTACTATTTTGCTTTTTTTGGGTGTCCTCATGTACATTGGTGTCCTGCATAATTTGCCTTAGTGCCCTCAATCATTTGCCTTGGTGCAATTTCCCATTCCTTGGTGCTCTTTGGAGTTACCGCGGAACATTTTTGAAAAAAAAAAGATTGACGCGCTTGGCATAGAGACCGACTATTTTTTTTTTTGGGCCTTACCTTGAGTATTAGTTTACTGTTCATCCATCTCAAAGTTGAGAACTCCTGGGTTGAAGAGCAAATGCTCCCGATAATTTTTTGTTAATACAAGCATTATACTAAATGAAATTCAGGCCAAAAAAAGCATTGTTTTAAAAGCTGTCTGTGATGTAAATAAAAAAAAAAGAACATGCAATATAGTTTTCGGGTTGCTCAACTTGAAAGTTAGAATGGGACATAAATGTTCAATTATTAAAATTTGAATGCATCAGTATGAAGGCTCATATAGTAGCAGATCTAGAGGGGGACGCAGCTGGCGCCCCCCCCCCCCCCTCATTTTATGTCTTGTCATTTTTCCCTGTTTCTTCTGCTGTAAACTGGTTATTTAATCACTTCAAGATTTCAAGGCAAAAATTTTCACCCATACATTTTGTATATGCCTCGCTTGAGTATGTTCGGGTTTTTGCTTCCATTTTGGGCACCCCCCCCACCTTTCTGTAAATACTGGATCCGTCACTGGTATGGAAGCATGTTTATCATGTCACTACACTCCATTTTTGTCCTCCGTTAATTTGTATCATTTGAAGTAGCAAGGTCATTTGTCCTTTTGGAAAGAGCACAGTTCACTTCCATACATCTATTATAGAAGGGGGGGGGGGGGGGGGGAAGAGTGCGCCAAGGACAAAACCAAAGCAACAGAGGCCATACCCCTTATGGTTACCATCTATATACATTGTAATTCTATGCAGACCTGGTAATTAATTTTCATTATCATAAATGCAATGCCTATAATTTGTAATTTATATCTAGTTTGATGCGCGTGCATTGTGCCACATCGAAAAAGCAACTGCATCGTATGGATGTATTAGATTACATACATGTACGTGTACCGTACCTTGTACCATTTGATATCCATACATCGTGCATAGTTGTACATGCTGTACATGTGTAACCATCTGACCAGCGCATAATAATGAGTAGATTATGTTAAAATATGCACCAGACGCTGGCTGTGATAAACGCAACCATGAATGCAGCAAAGAGCAACTTTGTTACCCGTTCGTTATCAGATGTTGTTGATTTTTTTAACCAAATCTCCAGTGTACAGAGATGCTATTAACTCATGTGCGATACATTTATAATTTTCTATGTATACAGTACCATGCAGGGGGATATATCTTTTAATAGCACACACCTAGTATACATGCAATGTAAACACATCCAAGTCCAAGATTTTCATGCTAACACATTGTTTATCCAGACTTTATGGTCTGGCATTTTCGTGTCTGTAATGTATTTAAATGTGCGTGACTGTGAGTCATATTAATACTGGTGTTGACTGTTTTTTCTGGTGTTCGTTCTTTTTTCCTACCTTGATTGGAAATCAGCCAGTCAAACATGTGACCTACATATCTTATAACCATCTGCAAAACTGTCCCCAAAAGAAATAAATAGAATATTCAAACTTAAACTCGCGGATTGAAAGAACCACCGACTGGCATACACAGAGCATGTTACAATTCTTTCCTTGTTAAGATTCCCCACTTTACAGATGTTTTTTTTCCGAGGGCTTTGTTGACACCCCCCCCCCCCCCAAAAAAAAGTGATCATTTTGTCAGTGATTTCAATTCCTTCGTGAATTGGTCATATCCTCACCCCGGTTTACAATTAGTTGGTTGTTGCCGCCAAGCCTGTAGATTTGGTTTTTTCATTACGGAGGCACGGCTCAAAAAAAAAAGGGAAAAAAAGGGGGAATATCTTCATTTATGCAGATTTTTGAAGCTGTGCCAAGTGTGGGAACACGAAGTAGCTTGTGATAATTGTCATAAAGTGAACTTGAAGATCTTTATGTCATGAGAAAAAAACGAAGGTTTTTTTAAAGGAAGCGCGGTTCCTCAAACACGAGTATTTTTGCACAAAATAACAGCAACACTGTACTTTGCAAACTGTAAGACATCTCATGGGCAATTCCACGGTTACTCACGTTACATTTTTGATGTATTTTTGAGTTTCCTTGGGCTGTAAGAACCTTACTGAAAAGTTTAATAACTGTTATCCCCATGGTAGAAAAATGTGTTATGTATGATAAACAAGACGCACAAAATCGGTTACTCGCGTTACGAAAATGTAACGTGAGTAACCGATATTGTGCATCTTGTTTATCATACATGACACGTTTTTCTGGATGTCATCTTTGGTGCTTAGGTAGGTCTAGGTCTACTCTATCTACCATGGGGATAACAGTTATTAAACCTTTTCAGTAAGGTAATTACAGCCCAAGGAAACTCAAAAATACATCCAAAATGTAACGTGAGTAACCGTGGAATTGCCCTCATGCATAATTCAACCAACTGCATTTTAATTGGAAGTCTTTTATTGGCTTTTAGAGTATTGCAGGTTTTTTTTTTTCTCGAATCGAATCCATTAGGCCTACTTGATGCCCACCAGGCCTGGAGTACATCCCTTTGTTGCTAGAGGAAATACTTAAATCTTGTTCTGTGCTCTGAAGTTGGATTTGAAATGGATGACTTTAGGAATTAGAGGCATAGCTCATCCCTGGATTGGGCAATTCAGGAAGCTGATTCACAACCCTTCATTAAGTCTGGCCAACCCTTCATTAAGATGTCCGTTGTCCTGACAGATATGTACTGAAGAAGCAAGGGGAAAAAGTCCACTTGTCCGTGATCTTCATAGGCACAACTTTTAACTGTGTGATTTATTTTGAAGCATTGCCAAATTTCAAAAGCATCAAAATAGACAGGTTCTAAACACATGTTATATTCTACATGATGTTGCATATTTTCATGAACAGGGCTTGCTTGTGATCCTTGGAAATCTGGTTGTATATAATAATGGTGGTAGAAGTAAAATGACAGACTATTTCAGAGTTATATGTTAAAAGGTATATTCTTTTATGCTTCTAGGACCCTCCAAATAGCGGAAGTAACTTTCTGTAATGGATGAGTTGCAAGATTGTGTGATGCACAGTACAGGACCATCTTTGTTTCCAATTTCCTTCTGCTTTTTGAAACATTTTCGGAACAGAAAATGTCAGGATTTTTTTTTTTTTAATACATATATATCTGACTATGGAGATGGCTTTTGTGATGCTGTCCTGAAATTATACTTTCCGAAGATGTCCGAGAGTTATTTAGCAACAAAAAATTAATCAGTAAACTGTCTTGATTACGAGGAAATTCCTTCAATCCTGAAATTATACTTTCTGAAGATGTCCGAGAGTTATTTAGCAACAAAAAATTAATAAGTGAACTGTCTTGATTATTTCATTTGATATACGATGGGATTGATGTGAGCCTTGTGTGGATAAAAAACAAGTATGTCATTATATTTCAGTTTTTTGTCAATACTCAGGAAGTCATCAGCCAAAGTCAGAGATTGAATTAAAAAACAGGAAAAAAATGAAAGCATAGGTGAAGGTTATAAGCAGTTATCACACGCAAACATCGCGTGCAAGACATCCTGCCCTCCTCTAGATGTCTAGCGGGCTCCCAAGTTTGTTAATGCCAGCGTTTAATAGCTTTTAATTACAGCGTGGACGAGGAGTCGGTGACTGCAAGGCCCCTCTGTCTGGCCAGCCGCGCCGGGCGGCGCACAGACACTAGTCGCTGGCGCCTCCCGCCGTGGGAAGGAAGCCATATTACAACCCATTACCGCCCAAGTTGACGCCCTTGTCTAGATATCAGGGAGTTGTTGACCCAAAATACCTGACCTTCTTCCCGTTTAAAGCCCCCGCTCCACCTAACTCATACCTTCTCTGCCCCCCTCCCCTCAACCTCAAACGCCATTATTTTGGTGCGCACACTTGTACAATACATGTACAGTACATGTATGTGCTTGTGTAAGATCTCAATTCTTTGTCAGTATTTACTAATCGTGTGCCATAGAATCGATAGGGCAGATACTTCTTCAGCAGAAAGTTTGAAACTTTCAAAAGCTGAATGCTGTGGCAAGCAATGTGCATGTTCACTGTTCAAAGCAAGTTCACATTAGCAACTATCAAGCTACATGCATTTACATGTAATACCATAAAGCTCTTTTTTTTCTGTCAGCATTTTTAGGAGACACAGACAATTCCAAATTGGTCACTTATTGATTTGTTAAAATTCACAGTTACTGAGATGCTGCAACCATCCTTTTAAAGAGGTTGTG